GCGCTTTCAGGCATTCAACTTATGCCAAATTTATTTTTATTTTTAAATTACTTTAGAACCAGAAATTTGTATTCTTTGACCAATGACCGCCCTTTCCCTCCACCCCCCAGCCCCGCCCCCGCCCCCGTAGCTACCCTTCTACTTACTCTCTTCGTCCCTGAATTCGGCTTTTAGATCCCACTATAAATGAGATGGGAGAGTATTTGTCTTTCTCTGTGACTGAATTCACTTAGCATAATGCTCTCAAGGTCCATCCCTGTTTTTGCAGCTGGAAGGATTTCCTTTTTTCTCATGGAGGAAAAATAATATTCTAGTGTATGTATAAACAATATCTTCTCTATCCATTTATCCACTGACAGACATTTAGATTATTTCCATACCTTAACTACTATGAATAATGCTGTAATAAACATGGGAGTGCGGATAGCTTTTAGATATCCTATTTTTATTTCCTTTGGATAAAGACCCAGAAGTGGGGATTGCTGTATTATATGTTAATTCTATATTTAATTTTTTGAGAAGCCTCTATACTGTTTCCCATAGCGGCTGTACCAATTTACATTCTCACAACTTAAGGATAAGTTAAAGATATCACGGGTGTATCAGTACGGGTTCCGTCCGAGAATTAGGACCCCAGTCTAGAAGCTAGATGACGCTATTTATTGTCTTTGCTCTGACACTGGAGCTTGGGGTCCGTGCAGCAGAGAGTCGGGAGGGAAGGATCCGGAACTGGCTGGAATCCTGAGTGTGGGCTGCAGCCCAAGAGGAGAGGCTGAAACCCATGTCTCTTCTTGTTGCCAAGGGCAACAGGAGTTCTTGCAGAAGCTGGAACCCTTCCTCACACACCTGGCTCAGGAGTCGGGGAAGCCGAAGGCGGATGTGGGCGGTGGGGCGGGGTCAGGTGCGCCGTTGCGGGCCTGGCCTCTGTCCCCGCGGAGCAGTGAGTCAGCAGGCAGGCCACAATGAGCGTGAGATAAAAAAGCCCTGTGGACTCCCTTCGGCCCTCTCCGTCTTGCACAGGAATCTCTTGTGACCTATCCTAACCCAAAACACACAGGGGAGGGAGTTCTGGCAATGTTGCGCAGTCTGCCTAAGTTGACACAGGCCCTGAGCCATGTTTTATCTATCTGGCGAAGAGCAAAATATTTGAAGGTTTCTCACGCTGCCGCTGGCGAGGGCATAGGAGACCACGTTCTCTCATAGGCTGGTGGTGTCAACTGGTACAACTCTAGGAGGAAAGCGCATGTACTGTTTAACCAGCCAATTCTTTGTTTGAATTTCTCCTACAGGTAAATTTGAACTTATTTTCAAAGCACAATAGTGTTTGAAGCAGTCTGAGTGTAGGCTAATGTCCACTGACTTGGCATTAGATAAATTGTCTTGTTTCAGTTTATATTTTAGTTTTAATTGTAGTAAAATACACCAATATATAACCTTTACCCTCTTAACCATCCTTAACTGTACAAGTCAGTGGCGTGAAGCACATTCACATGGTGGAACAGCCATCACTGCCCTCCACCTCCAGAACCTTTTCATCTTGCAAAACTGAGATGCTGTCTCCCATAAACAGTAACTTTTCAATTCCCCTCTCCACGCCCTTGGCAACCCCTATTCTGTCTCTGTGAATTTGACTACCCTAGGTACCTCATATACGTCGAATCATACAGTGTTTGTCCTTTTGTGACTGGTTTGTTTCACTTAGCACAATGACCTCCAGGTTTATCCTCATTGTAGCGCGTGTCAGAAATTCCTTCCTTTGTAATGCTGAATAATATTCTGTTGTATGGATGGGCCATACGTTGTTTATCCATTCACCCATGGGCGGACACTTGGGTGGCTTCCACCTTTTGGCTATTGTAAATAATGCTGCTATGAACATTGGTGTATCTGAAATTTTAAAACCCTCATGCACACAGTACTAATTTTCAACCCTAATGAAAAATATAAGGCCATCTTTTTGCTTCTCTGACTCTGGTGTACAGTTGGAGGGGCCAACTGATGCAACAAATAGATCCCATGATGCATTATAGCTTAACCACAAGACATTTAACTCGTTTCTGTAGCAGCACTGGATGAGTGTGACCGCGTCAGGGTGTGTGCAGGGGGTCCTCCCACCTGCTGAGGACCCAGGTTGACACAGCTTCCCAAATCATCCTTGTCTCCCCTGGAGTGGGGGAAAGGGGTTGGAGGGGTGTCTGAGGGAGGTGTTGCAGGCCAGACCTGGAAGTGCCCCACTGCGCTCTGATCACACTGCACTGGTTAGAACAGTCACATGACCACCCCAACTGCAAGGGAGCTTGGGAAATGTAGTCCAGCGTGCCCCCGCCACACACCTCGAAGAGGAGTTTGGGCAGTAGTGTGGGCTGTGGAGCAGTTGCAGGCACCTGCTCCCCATTTCCCTGATGGCTTTTATCCTTTGAAATTCGACGGGGACTGGGACTTGGCTCCTCCAGGAAGCAGCCCTGGAGCTCCCACACGCTCGATGCGCTGCACTGGCCATGGCCTCCTCCACGGGCAGCGTTGGGCCATGAGCCCCACGGGGACCGGGGTAGCCAGGGATTGGCACTCAGCCATCCTGGGACTCGCAGAAGGGACCAGCCCGGCTGAGGAGGGGCCCTGCCCCTACTGTGCCATGTTGGTCCCACACCTCTGTGTCAGCACTCCCCACTGTAGTCACCAGAAAGCAGTCCCTAGAGAGGGACTACAGACAGGAGGAGGGGTGCCTCTCCATCTCAGGCCCGTGGGGACGTCTGTGGCGGAGCTGTTGTTTCTGGGGCTCCTGCTGGGTCCCCCTGGGCCTGTGGGGCACCTGCTGTGTGGGGCCTGAATGTGGCTGGGCAGCCCCCTCCTCCTCTGTCCCCCAGCCCAGAGGTGCTGCTGGGATCCTGTGGCTGTCTCACCAGCTCCCTTTGACCTCCCAATTCTTCTGGCATCTGCATTTCCAAGTCCCTGGGTCATTGTTCTCCAAACCTGCCTAGTACAAGGGGTGTGGGACTGGCCACGGGTTTTGATGTCATCATTCCCAGGGATTGCCCTGGGGAGACCACCTCCCTGAGGTTGGGGTCCCTGCCTTTGATGTCTGTAGGGAGTCCATGCCTGGTTCTGGGACCTTCCGCCTTCGTACAGGACCAAACAGAACCCATGACTCCTCGGGGCCCCTGGGAAAACCCTGCCAGGTGCTGGGGCTTCCCAGCCTGGCTGGCCCCTGGCACGGAGAGCGCCTGGTGTCTGGGGCAGGGGCTGCCAACAGTGCACCCCTTCTCCTGCCAGGGGGCAAGAGCTGCAGCTCTGGGGCCTGTCCAAGAGGGACAAGAGGGGGACCGATGGGGGCGAAGGGAAGCCAGGCTTCGCTCAGGATGAAGCCTATCCGCCCTGGCCTGATGGGGAGGAGCCTCGGCCGCCACCGCCACCATTCCTCAGACCCAACTGCACTTCTCTCCCTGAGCCTTTGCACCTGCAGTGCAGCCTCTGGGAATTCCACGGTCCTCTGAGGCTGGTCATGGGAGCTGTGAAACCACCCTATACCTCCTAGGCCCCTGTGTGTCTGTTCCCACATGTCCAGGCTGCCTTGACCATGAAACTGACATTTTACTCACTGACAAGCACCCAGCTGGGGCTGGCTCAGCACAGGGGGATGCACTATAGACTCAGGTTGGTGGGAGGCCAGCCCTGCTTGACCTCATCTGGGGAGGAAAGTACCTGCCCAGCAGCCAAGGGGCTGTCCCTCTGCCCTACCCTGTCCTGAGCTGGAAGCCAGAGGTGTGGGGAGGTGGGGAGGCTCCAGAAGGACAGGAAGTACCACTCATCTCCCTCTTTTCAATTTCTGGGCACCATCCCTGGGTGTCCCCCAAGTCCCTCAGTCCCAGCTGTTCCTTCAAAGGTGCTCATCATGCACTCACCTACTTCCAGAAACCCCGCAGGCAAGCCCTGCCCCTGCCACCCAGCTCCTCACCTCCGCCCAGGGCCCTCCACCAAGGGCAAGGCTGGGCGGGCGGGGACGTCTGGGCTCCAAGATCTGGCAGTCAGTGCCCACTGGATGACCTAAGCTGACCTCTGAGACTCGAGTTCCTGAGACTCGGGGATGACTCAGAAGCTCTTGCAGCTGAGAGGGGACGCAGAGGTGGGCCTGCCTGAACCTCAGCTGAGGTGACGAGTTCGTTGGCCTGGGTCCTGCTGCAGCCTCCACCTTTGCTCGCTGTCCTTACCCTCTGCTTCCCCCGCGTGGCCATTCTTGGTACTGCATACCATAGTGAAGAGGGCTTCCACGCATCACTTCCCATAGCATACCCCTGTGGCCCCGGCCCTTCTCAGACTGAGCTGCCTGCCTGGTCCAGGGGGGCGCCAACCTGCAACCGTGCCCTCCTCAGTGCAAATCCTACCCTGTCCAGGCCTTCCCATGACCCCCATCCAACTCCCTCATGACAAAGGGGAGCTGTGGGCTCCGACTGTCCTCAAGCCAGCTCCTAGTCCGTTTCCATGCCTGGCCCTGGAAGAGGGGCAGGGGCTTGGAGGGGCAGCAGTGGCATGAAGCCCATGCTCCGTACTTAGCTTCTGGATGCTCCTGGGTAGAGGGCCCAGGGAGCCAGAACATGGACCCCAGAGGGAGGACCTGGGTGTGCCGGGGCCTGAGGGCGGTGCCTGGGCATGACGGGCACCCAGGGCCAGCTTTCTGCAGGATGAAGCGACAGGGCAGGCTGGCTCCGTCTCATCTCCTGGTCCCTGCGGTATGGCCTCCAAATACCATGCCCTTCGTCCCCACCCCAAGGAGTAGCCACTGGTCCCAACCCCGCTTCTCTGATGGAGACAGAGGCCAAGGAGGAACCTGTCCCAGGTGACCTGGCAGTGGATGAAGGACTCAGACCCAGGCTGCTCTGGACCCCAAAGGGCAGCCGTGGAACTCTGCAGGGAAACAGCACGACCGCGCCAGGACACCAGGGTAGAGCACCACAGGCTTCTTTTCTTTGTAAGGCAGGGAGGGGCATTTCAAGTGACATTCCCGAGTTAGAATTACAAGCTTAGAGATCAGAGGGTGACTCTTTGCTTGGGGTTCCTGTGGCCTCTCCATGCCCCAGACTGGGCGCACCTGCAATCTTGGCTGGGCCCAGGTTGGTCTGGGAATCAAGGCAGTTGGGCTCCAGGGCTCCAGTGTTAGGGCACCAGGTCTCAGGGGCACGGGCACCAGACGCCAGTTCCGAGGTATTGGCAACTGAGTATCAGACGCTGGAGTACGAGGGCTGAGGAGGCAGGGGATAGAACTCAGGGCACAGAGTCTGAGTCTGGAGAATTAGAGCAGCGACTGCTTGGGGAACAAGGTCTCGGGAGCTGCACGGTTAGAGGTCGGGGCCCAGGGCCGAGGTCACAGAGCAGGGCAATAGGCCTCAGGTCCACAGGCATCAAAGGCTCAGTTTTCAGGTGTCCAGGTCCAGGCGCTAAGGATTTGGGGATTGAGGTACTGGGGTGCCTGCTCTTGGGAGTTTGGGGCTTTCTCCGGGGAGGCTGGTCTTCGGCCCCCGAGTGGCCTGTGTACCGAGTCGCTGGCCAAGCGTGCTCCCTTCAGGGCTGCGAAGTCCACGGGGTCCTGCGACAGAGGTAAGGTCTAGAGCAGGCACGGTGGTCCCACTGGCACCCCAGGGGCCCAGGGTCCAGGCGAGCTGAGGAGGGGCAGGACCCTGGGTTCGTGTGAGGGGGCCTCACCTGTTGCTTTTCCTACGTCGCAGGAGCACGTAAACCAGTGCGACCAGCGCCACCAGGGCCAGGCCTCCAAAAATGATGCTCAGCAGCACAGTGTGGCTCCGTCCTGGAGACAGGGTGGGAGGTGAGGGCAGCCCCGGGCACGGATCGTGGGGGGCCGCAGCGGCGGGGGGACTGCAGGGAGGCATATGGGAGGGGCAAGTGTGTGGGTGGGGCCGGGCAGCAGGGGGCCAAGGACAAGTGAACCAGGCAATCTTACCAGGCTGGCATGACGGGGTAGGACTGGACCAGGTGCCATCAGCCTGGCAGGTGCTGACCTGCGACCCCTCCAGGCTGTAGCCATTGTTGCAGTGGAAGTAGACAGTGGAGCCCTTCAGGTACTTGCTGCCCTCCTTCACCCCATTGGAGGGGGGCTCCAGCCAGCCACAGGACACCACTGGGGTAGGGACAGGGTGCAGATGGCCCTGAGCCACTGGCTGCCTCCTGCAGCCACCTGCCTTGGGGACCCTGTCCTCGTGCAAGGTGCCTGCCCCCTCATCCACACCCCTTGCCACCCTCACCAGACTTCAGACTCTGCACACGATGCTGGTGTAGCTGGTGGGCCACCCGTGTGGCATTGCCCACGCTCAGGCTCCCAGTGGCTGCAACATCAAAGCTGCAGAAATAGTTGTCCCCACACAGTTTGGCTGCCTCAGTCTCCTGATCGGGGCTGGGGGAGATGTCCTCGGGGAAGAGCGGCTGGAAGGTAGGGTCATGCTTGGGCCCATACAGGAAGTTGTTGACCAGGAACCGAGAGTCATAGGTGAGCAGGGAGGAGGCATTCTCCACGGCCCCTGGGGAGACAGGCAGCAGGTCTGGCTGGTGGCGGAGGGCCTGGGCTCTCCCCACCACTGCCCCGACCCGGCCCCTGCCACATCCCTTCCTCCAGCACGGGTCTTGTGGTCACTCACAGCTAGCCCCAAACGGGAACAGCTCTCGGGAACTTGCAGTCGGGGGCAGGACCTTCCCGTTGCGCAGGGTGAAGTCATCTGCGGGGTTGTCATTGAGTGTCCCAAGGAGGCCTTGCGTGCGGTTAAGGAATGCCTCAGGCAGCAGGATGGTCACACTAAGGAAGGGACCCTGGACGCTGACCTCCAGGCCTGCCCCCGATGACAGCATGATTGATGCGTTTTTCTCAGCAGCCACTGACAGGAACATGCCTGGGTACGTGAAGTCAGGATAAGGGTTACCTCCTGTGCGCACTGTATGGTGACCCCAGAGCCCCCGGATGGATGGGCCTGCACCCTTGGACTTCAGGGGAAGGGCAGAGCACCCCCAGGACCGACCCTGCTGGCTGTGACCCTCCACTACTACAGGGCAGCACCTGCGCTCAGCCCCTCATGCTGATCTGAGGTGCCCAGTGGCTCGATCCCTGATTGGGAGGCAGCAAGCAGCCTCTGCCCTCTCCAGGGCCCCTGCGTTCTCAGCGACAACAGGCCCACCCCAGGTCCCCACCCACGCCAGCTGGGGGTCATCTCATTCATTCAGTTCCCTGAGGCAGCACCACTGAGGGAAGGGGGATGGGCAGGGAGCTGCCACTCCTTAACCCTTAGTCCGGCTTCCTTGAGGCGCCGCAGAGCTCACTCTGGGCTCCAGTGAGGACTCATCCCCCATCCTGGCATCGCAAGGCCCTGACCAGGGCGTGCCATGAGGCTCCATGGGCGTGAACACTCAAGATCAGAACAGGCTCTCCAGGCTGGACTTTGCCATCCAGGGCCTAGAGCCACGTCTGCCCACAGACAGCCATAAGGGCCCTCTGCAGTGGGGCGCAGCGGAGAGGGGCTGGCTGTGCTCCGTGGCCAGCCTGGCACGACCTGTCTCCCCACCTGTGCCCTGGACTGCATCTCTGCCTCCTGCCAGGGCCGGTGAGAGGGGCGGAGGCCCAGGCGGAAGCAAAAGGGAGCGAGAGCGGCCCACTGGCCGGCTGTCCCACTCACCCTTCAGGTCCATCCAGCTCTGCTCGGCAAAGGTGAGCGGCTCCTGGTTCAGCAGCACCTGTAGGCGCCCCGTGCCGTTGGCCAGCCGGACCTCCACCACGTCAGAGTTGCCCTCTTGGACGGCTACGGCAGTCAGCCCGGTGCCTTTGTCCTGCAGGCCTGGGGTTGTGGGTGGCGAATGGGGTCTACTCCGCTCCAGCCTCCCACCGGGGTGACCCTGAGCCGCCCCCAGCCCCTGGGGCCCGGCCTCACCCTCGGGCGTTGTCCTGGGCTGGGCTCGAGCCTGCACCTTCAGGTTGGTCACCTCGGACTCCAGCAGCACATACTCGCCGCGCCCGTTGAATGTGAAGTTGGCACCATCAAAGGTGACAAAGTGTGGGTCCCCGAAAGCAGAGGCTAGGGAGAGGGGAGAGTCAGGTGAGACTCTCCAGCCTGGCCCTGCCCAGGGCCCCGCTCCGGCTGGCACCCACCCAGGCGAGGGGGCCGGTAGGTGCGGCAGTCGCTGGAGGGCCGACGACGCATGTAGCGGGAGCACTCGGGCGCCCAGAGGCAGCAGTGGTAGAAGCTGATGACATCGTAGAGCCAGTGGGAGAGGCCAGGCACACGGGGCGGCGCACGGAATGGGGGCGAACCCCAGTCGTGGCCACGGTCAGGGGTGCTGCCGCTGGTGGAGTCAGCTGTCAGGAGCTGCGTGCCGTCTGCCGTGTAGCAGCACTGCTGGCCTGCGCCGAACTGGGGGCTGGGGGCGAGGACAGGTCAGGCCTGGCGGCCTGGGGATCCTGCCCTCAGGTCCCGCCCACGTCCCAACCACCACCTGGGGTCTCACCTGGCTTGCACGGAGCGCACACAGTGCACGGCCCCTGGGTGGTAGGTGCACACGCTGCCCTGCTCGATGTCACAGCCGTAGTCCGTCTGTAGAGCAGCAGGTTGCTGTCACCTGCCCCAGCATCAGGCTCTGCCATTCCCACCTCGTGCCCCACAAGGGCCTTCAGAGCCCAGCTCCCCCCTCTAGAGGCCTCTGTCAGCCCCCCTCCTTGTGTTGTTCTGGACTGGCACAGCTACGTCCATGGAGGTGGCTGCTGGCCCCACTTGCACCCTCGGCTGGTTCCAGGGCCTGACCTGGGTAGGGACTCACGTGGAAGCGGCCAGAGTCAGCCCGGGCCTGGGCCAGGGTGCAGGGGCAGTCAGGCAGCTCCACCAGGAAGTTGGGCAGTTGGTCCTCCAGCGCTTCCCAGGCCAGGCACCGGGAGCGGGCCCAGGCCGCGGCGTCCGCCCGGAAGTCCTCGCCCAGGTGCCAGGCCAGCGCGTGCTCGTTGCTCCAGAGCGCCTGCACGTCCCTGTGGGGCCACGGGCACCGTAAGGGCTGCCTTCCCTGCCTCCGCCCCGGCTTCTCCCTCCAGCAGGGAGGGAGTTGGGGGGAGGGGCCACAGACCCCCCAGCCCCCACCCACCCTCTGCACAGCTCTTGGTTCTTACTTCTGCCCCATGTAGTGTGTGTCACTGATGATTCTAAGGGCACCCACTTCCCATTTCTGGTAGCTCTGAGGCGCTGGGTTTGGAGTGAAGGTGAAGGAGCCCGAGTTGGGGACTTTTGTGGCCAGGGAGTACAGGTATGACCACTTTGCCATCCATTGCCCTGAGTATGGCTTCCCTGAGGGAGAGAAAGTCCCAGTCAGCCCTGCAGCTGGTCAGAGGACCCCCAGGGCAGAGGAGGCATGGGCGCCCGTCTTTGGTGCTCAGAGAAGCCTGCTGCATGGCAGATGATCCCCATAACAGGACCTTCTCTGTGACCACCCCCCCCCCTACACTCCAGGGTCACTGTCCCTGCTCCAGGCCAGGCCCAGGGCCATGCCAGCCACCCAGGGACTCAGAGAGGAGGGGGAAGCAAGCCTTTTTTGCTTCCGTGACAAACCTTGTGTCCAGGAGCCAAGTGTCCTCCCCAGGGGTGTCCGCCCCCCGCCCCTCATGCCCCTGCCAGTTCTTCTCCTTTGTCTGCACTTTCCTCACCCCACTGCTCCCAGGAATGCCCCCCACTCCGGGGGATTCTCCCCCCGGCCAGTGCCCTTTGTCTTATCTCTGAACGCCCAAAGCTTCTGACCCCACCAGGTCCTGCGGAGGCAGCCTGCAGAGCGCCTCACCTGTCTCCTCGTAGCCCCACAGCTCGATGGTGACGGTGTTGGTGGGCAGAGCAGAGCTGTCCCAGGTTAGGGAGAGGTCATCCCTGGCGCCGGTGGTGCCATAGTACTGCCAGTGGGTCTCATTTACCAGCTGGCTCTTCTCTGTCTCTGACACTTTGCTGGGGTGAACTGGGCAGGGGAAGGTGAGGTGAGGGAAGACCCGGGACCTGGGGGGTCCAAGGGAGGGGGCCCTGGGGCTCTGACAGCTGTGGGGGCCACCCAAGGACAAAGTATGGCAGTTCCGTTGGAGCCCTGATGTCTCCCAGACCCTCACGGTGGTAGGAAAGGACAGAGCCTGGGAGGGCAGGGCTCTGCTCCCATGGCGCAGGCCTCAGGTCTCCACCTGGCTCCACCTCTCCCCTGGCTCGGCCCAGCTGAGGAGGCAGGCAGACCCTGGCCCACCCTGCTGGTGGCCCCCTGTGGCCGCTGCTCCCTCTGGGCTGAGACTCCTATCTGGATACCAGGGTGTGCTAAGAGGAGCTGCAGGAATCCATGTCCCTGTGGTCGGGCGGGTCTCTCAAGGGACTGGCTCAGCCAGAGTGGCAGGACCAAGTGGGTGGGCCAGGTGTGTATAGATTCGCAGTGGGGAAAGTCCCCACAAGGGTGCCAGGACCTGCGGTGCCCAGGCCTGGGCCAGCAAGCAAGGTGGGGCTCACCAGCCAGCCAGGTGCCTGAGCGAGGGAAGCTCATGCCATTGTCCATGGAGAGTGTGAAGGGGATGCGGCCGGTCTCGTAGAGCAAGGGCGACACACAGTGCACACGTCCGAGGGAGTCCACGTGGCCGCGGGTCTGGACGCTCTCCTTAAACCTGTCATGGGGAAGAGGTGGCAGGAGAAGCTGGGCAATGGTGGGCTGACCTTCTCCAAGGCCTGGGACCCCAACATTCCTGGGGAACCCGTTCAGCCAGCTGCCCCTATCCTGGTCCTCAGGGCTCCACTCGGCCACCTGGGGGAGCCGGGGCCCCCAGCATACATGGCCCCCCGGGCTCCCACCTGCAGATCACGATGCTCTGGGGGCTGGACCAGTTGAGGTGCTGCACCACAAAGTCCTTGCCGCCCATCATGGAGCCTGAGTAGGGTTTGATCTCCAGGCAGAAGTCCCGCACGTCTGGGCAGCAGCTGCCGAGGCCGAAACAGGTCGGGTGGCATGAGCACGGCCAGCCCGGGTCCCCACAGCGGTTGGCGCAGGTCTCCTGGGCACCTGGGGAACAGGGCCCTAAGAGTGCGCCCCAGTGGGTGCTGGGCTGCCCCCCTCCCCGCGTCTATTTTCCAGAGCCCGTTAGAGAGAAGCATGCCCAGGAAAATGCGGTGGGGGGTCGTCCTGACCAGCACGTGGACACCGTGGAGACCCGAAGGGCCTGTGGGCTGGGGTCAGTCTTAGTACAGATCACCTATCAGTTGACCCAATGGCTGGCTAGAATGAGAGAAGAGGAAGTGCCTCCAGACATACAACTTTGTAGTGTCAGAAGGAACCCTCAGCCTCCAAGTCTGCAGCTGATGGCATCCTCAGATGGCCACAGAGGCATGAGCCTTTGCCGTGGGCTGGGGGACCTGTCTCCACTACCTGAGAACCTGTGGGCCCACAGCCTGGAAGAGGACCCCCCGGCTGGCTCATATGGGGTCTGTGTATGCAGCTACTGTGAGCCCCATTGGAGGTCAGGCAGGGGCAGCTGTTGAGCTGAGCTGGCCCACCTCTCTCTGCAGCGCAGTGCTGACTCACTGACGGCAGCCCCGAAGGGCGTTCACCCTCTGAGAAGGCGAGGGTGCCTTCCTCCTCTTAGGAGAGGGGGTCGTTTCCAGCAGAAGGGCCAGCATCGGGGGGAACAGTGGCAGCTGTGGACTGAAGCCCCAGTCTTTTTCTCCAGCCTTGGGGACTCACTGCAGGGCCACGTGTCAGGGAACTGGTTCCTTGAGCTGGCGGGGCTGGACAGGTTGAAGGGTGGAGGTGGGTGGGGTGCAGGCAATGAGGCTGGGTCACACATGCCACTTGGCCCTTCCCTGACATCTCCCAAAGGGGATGAGCCAGGGGCAGCCTGAGCCACCCTGGTGGCCCCACTTGAGTGCAGGGCTGGGCACTTGAGTGTCAATAAATATTTATTGACTGAGAAAGTGATGGCTCAAGGAGGTGGGGGAGGGGGCTGAGTGATGCCAGTGAGTTAAATGGCAGGAGGGCGGTGGCACTTTCCTGCTAATAGGGATGGTAGGGGGCTGGGAGGTCTGGGACCTTTGGTCTTGCCCAGCGGGTGGTTTGTCGGCGGGGTGGGGGGAGCGGCGGCAGAGGGGTGCAGAGTTCTGGCTCAGAAGTGTGGTTCTTCTGCCAGACTTCCTGGGGTTCGGCTCCACCCTGACAAGGCCACATCCCGCCTCTCGCCAGACGGGGCCAGAGGGACTGGGGGCTCCTCCGTTGGCAAGCACACCCTCCATCGGGGCTCAGGGTACAGGCCAAGGGCTCTTCTGAGCCTGCCACCACCTAGCCACTTCCCTCCCAGGCAGCCAGTGCCTCCCAGCTTCCAGCAGGTTTAAGGTGGGCACCACCCAGGGTCCCCCATCCCTGCTGGGTGGCCCTTGAACCTGAATCCCAATTTCTTCCCACAGCCTCCAGTACAGACACAGTTGGCCAAGCAGATGGGCAGATGCCCTAGCCGGGCTGCAACAGACAGATGGACAGATGGGGCTAGAAGAGGAGGGTGAGGACATACCTGCTACAGGCCAGGGGCCTGGGCCAGGGGCTGTCGCCAGCAGCAGCAGGGCCCAGGGCAGGAGGAGAAGCTCCATTGTGCGGCCTGTGTCTGCAGCTGGCTGTGCTGTGGCTGGGAGACGGGGAGGCTGCCGCCAGCTCACTCCCAGAGCCTGGCCCCGCCCTCCCCGAGCTCAGCACCAACGCCCCGCCCCGCCCCGCCCCGCCCGCCCCTCGCTGGGTCCCCTCTCAAAGTCCACAGTGGCCTGTGTGGGCCAGCAGGCCCAATCTGCCCTGTTAACACATTCCTAGCCAGCCAGCCTAGAACATGGGGGAGGGGGCCTGAGCTTCCAGCTGCCAGACTTCCAGCACTAGAGGAATCTGATGTCCAGAGGCTGCGACTCTGATCAACAGATCCCAATCCTGGCCGAGAGCCCGGTGGCCAGGGCGGGGCTCCTGAAAGGGACTGAGCTTCAGAGTGGGTAAGGCGAGGCTGCACTTGCAGTCCCAGGATTCCAGTCTCTGGGATCTTCTTCCGAAGATGTCCCATCCCTAGTACTCAGCCCGCTGGGGAGTACATGCTGGCGGGTGGAGTTGTCAGGCTCGCCTGTCCTTCGGAGGTAAGTGGTGAATGATGAGCCCAGGGTGGGGAACTAAGACCCAAAGCCGGTGATCTAGAGAGAAGCCGCCCAACCCCACCCGCCCTTGCTATCACTCAAGGAGTTTCCCTCATCTCCTTCAGCGTTCCCCTCCCTTCTCAATGTGTAAGTGAGGACACTGAGGCCCAGACAAGGGAGGGGCCAAGGTCACTGGGAAAGGCAGCACTAGGAAATCCCTGGCAGCTTCCGAAAGCCCCCAAGCCAGGTACCTGGGAGGGTCCCGGCCTGTCACATGGGCCACATCACAGGGTGTCCAAACAGGCACAGTCCTCTCCCCAGTGGCATCTCCTCCAGGTGTCCAAAAAGGACACACCCCTGACCTCACAGGCAGCTGCAGCTAGACAGGGGCCGGAGCTTAGGCTGCCTGGCTGTGTCCTGCTTCAGCTCTGGGATGGCAGGCGTGCCCGCAGCTGCTCCGGAGAGGTGGCACCTGCAAGCATTAGGGAAGCCAGCGGGGGGTTGGGAACACAACTCCCGCTTGGTTGCTGGGTGCTCGGGGCACCTCTTGTAGGCGTGAGGCAGATTAATAGGAAGGTAGGAAAATTCCTTGGCGAGTGGGGAAAATGAGGTAGACAGACCCCCTGGTCATGTAACAGGGCACAGCCAGGGCCCCCCCAAAGTGTATTTGTAACGGGATCCAGAGATTGGGGTGTCCAAGAAAAATATATTCCCCATCCCAGGGCGGGCCGCCATGGGGGATGGGAGCCTTGAGCAGAGCCATCGAGAAGTCAGTTTGCATGTCAATAACAAGATAGCTTCGTTCCTCCTTTGCAAACAGTGTGACGACCCCGCGGGAAGAAGGGGGGAGAAAGGACTCTTGCTAGTGGGCCAGGAGGTGCCACATGGTTATGGATTAAGAGCTGGAGATCGCCGCGATGCAGTGGATGGTGCTGAGACCCACGAGAGGCCTGCCTAGCCGAGTCCCAGACTTCTGTTCTTTTCTTTTTTCTGAAGGACGGTACCCCTGACTGGCCTAACTGGGCAAAGGGGGAAAGGCAGGACGGTGTGTGTGCTAGTGGTTGTTTTGAAGGGATTCTGAGGTTTAAGGGTGACATTTAGCCATTAGTCAAACCTGTATAACTTGTGAATGAATAGTTCCTTTTCACCAAACTCTGTCATTCAGAGCCATAATTCCAAGGGCAGTGGGCAAAGGACCCACAACTGAGGGGTCCCAGGGAAGGAGGGTGTTGTTGTTTCGATAATAGCATCTGGCCACCCCCGCTCCCCACGGGTCCTTTTGTTCGGTAACAGCCTTGCGGTTTTGACCCCCCTGACCTGCCCTCCCTAGAGATAACATCCAGGCCTCCGTTATTCCAGCTCCAGGCTCAGAAAAGCAGCAAGACCACCAGGTGGGTGACACCAGGACCAGCTGCAATTACTAATGACCTCCAACCCTGTCACCGGCCCATTAGTAGAGTCCATGACCTTAAAAGATCACACCTGGAAAAGTAATGAATATTCTATTGAAGTTTTCCCCTAAACTCCTGTCCTTTAAAAAAAAAATCACCAAAGGACCCCCGCAGGAATGCAGGCAGGAGTGCAGAGCGCTCTCCGGGGAGCACGCCTGTGGCCTCTGGCCTGTGGTCTGACCCCCTCGCACCCTTCTTCCCCGACAGGCACACATCTCCTCCCCTCTAAGGGTCCCCGCGAGAGACTTGCAGCCAGGGAGCAATGACTGGACAGCGGCAGCTTGTCCAGGGCTAACCCCTGAACCTGTCCCCAAGGCCCCATCTCTCTGACTTCCCAGTGAGCCAAAGCAGCCCCGCCTAGACTCTCGCCTGTTGCTTTTTCTAACCTAAGCCCTCCTTGTTTCATTGTCAAAATTGTCAGCTTCAATAAACTTACCCTCAAAATCACCTAACCTTGTGCTGTGAAATCTTTCCTACATGAAGCCTCGCCACTGGCTGGCCCGAGGCAGCCCCGCTGGGGGCCACGCCCCTTGCCATTAACAGGCAGTGGGTGTGGCGCTGCCAGGCCTGGGCTGGGGGCACAAGGTGTCCAGCCCATGAGGGGCACAGAGCATCAAGGAGGGTCCCAGTCTCCATCCTGGGCGGGGGCAGAGCCAGCCAAGAACTGTGGGGCAGCTGGGCCCCGAGTGGGGGCTGATATTGTGAAGAAGGGCTGGCTGGGGCGCCTTCAACCTGTGCCTTCTCAGGACTGATGGGCCTGAAGCCTGGGAGGGCAGGGCCAGCACCGCAGGCTGGCTGAACACTCCGCTATCACCAAAAAGGGGCTCCACTTTTGTTATCTTGCACTGAGCCCAACTTACGTGGCCCGTCCTGTTAGAGGGCAAGTGTGGTGGGAAGCAGTGCCCTTCTCTCCGGCCCCCGTGGCCCCCTCCCCCCAGCTCCTTCCCGATACAGACCCTGTCCCTCAGGACTCCCATCACATTGGGGTGCAAGCCAGCTCCTCAGCACAGCCTGGACCATACCTGCCCCCTGCAGCGACCCCGATCTCTGCTCCAGAGGGACTAGCCCTCGTACCTGTGTCCCCCAGGGGACGCTCCTGACACCCTTCCCAGGCCTGGCTCCAGTCTCACCTGGAAGGATCTGCCCCGCGTGGCTCCCAGGCCTGTGCTTACTCCCCCCAACTGAGCACCATCACCTGCTCCCTGGGTACCTGAGGGCTGCACTCAGCCGTACGGGAGGAGGAGCCCAGAGACTCTGGACAGCAATTGGCTGAGGGAGGCCCCAGGGGTGAACAAAGAGGCAAAGAGAATTGTTCCATCTTTATTAAAAAAGAAACCAAAAAAAGAGAGCGGGGTGAGCCCGACCCTAACTGGCCCTTCCACTGTGACGCAGGCAGAGCCTGGCTTGTCTGGCCTGTCTGGGCATCGAGGTGTGAACGGCCTCCTGGGCTGGGCTGGGGCACATTTACAGTCACTGTTTCATAGAAAAAGACGCTGGCCCGTGCCCGCTTCCCCCGTCCATCCATTTCCGCGTGGCTGAGCTCAGCCTCCTCGGGGCCCCACTTGGTGGGGACGGCCCCCGACCCCGGCGGGCAGGAGGATGCCAGTAGGAGGGAGGCTGAGCGGCTGGCGGGCTTCATGGGCCCCGGAGCGTGGCTGGGAGCTCTGGCCCCTCAGATGTCCATGTAGTCGTCCTCCTCGTCCGTGTCACTCTCCAGCGAGGACTCCTGGCTTGATGTCTCCAGGGCCTCCAGGGCCGGCTGGCACAGGCTCTCCTTCCTCACATTGGCAGCCGACTGGGCAGACAGGATGGCTGACTGTGGACCGGCAGGGCGCTGGTCAGGCAGGCCCGGCCCGGCCCCAGGCCCCCTGTAGCCCAAGGCCCCACCCATGCCCCTGCCCAGCACCCTCGGTCACCTTCAGCTTCTGCTTGGTCTCCTCCGAGATGCTGCCTTTGGGCGATAGCAGGGTTGGGGTGGGCGGTGTGACGGTGATCTCAGGGGGGAACTTGGTGGCAGCTGAGGGGATGACCAGCTTTGGCATGTTGGGCAGGAGGCGAGACTTGACCCGGCTGGGCTCTGCCTGGCCCTGGTGGTCCTCGGGCGGCTGTGCACTCCCACTGCTGGGCACCTTGGAGCTGGCAACTGTGGGGTGGACCACGGACTCTGAGCCTGGCTCACAGTCTCCTGAGCCTACCTGTCCCTCCCCAAACTGGGCCTCAGTTTCCCCTCTGGAAGACAGGGGCACCAAGAATGCCTCCCCCGCCGACATCAGACCCTGGGTGCACTCTCTTGCTCTTTCTGCCTGTGCTGGCTGCAGAACCCAGGTTTCGAAACTTGTCTCTCCCGTCCTCCCTGACTCCTGGGCTCTGGCTCTAGGGTGTGAGCTGTGGGGGCAGGGCAGCCCCAGGAGCACAGTGCATTCTGGGAGCCCAGGCCCGGGACAAGGGCGAGGTCCCCTGAGCCTTCCCAAGGATTTCACAGGCGCTCCAGGGACTGTGTATGCGTTAACTCTCCCGTCCCTGCAACTATCTTAGGACACATCTTAGCAGTGTCCGCGTCACAGGGGGGACGCCATGGCCCAGAGCCCCAAGGTATCCACTTTCCCCTCATGCTTCAGGGCGGGCGCGGGGCTTCCTGGGCCTGGAGCCTGGAGGCAGCAGTTCCGGTGGCAGCTTCTGGGAGCCGCATGAGCCTGGCTGGTCTCCACATTCCTCCGTGGCCCCATGGCTTTAAAAGGAGCAGGGCTCACTCTGAGCTCAGGCCCGGCGCCAGGCCCTGCCATCCACAGCGGGGTCTGTGAGAGGCTCTGGCCCCAGGAAGTCCCCACGGGCCTGGCTGGGTGGAGCAGCTGATGGGAATGGGCTTCGACTCAGCCGCAAACGCACGCTGTCTGACCCAGCCCCACTGGCCACCCCTCCCTGCCTGTCTGCCTCCCCCCAGCTCCATCAGCACAAGCACCCCTCGCGCCCACAGGCAGCCTGGGCCTGGGCTCCACCTGCCCTAGCTATTCCCCTCTGCGGAGCTGGGGGCGGACTGAGGGGCTCTCAGGGGCTCCGCTCCTACCCCTCGACACCTCAGCCCTTCCAAGCTGCTCGGCAGAGGCCTCTGCGGTGTATCTCTACCTCACCACTGGGCCCTGCCAGCCCCGTCCATCCTTCCAGGGACGGAGGTGCCTCTACTGGGACGCCCCCCGGCTGCTGGCGCGCTCCCGACCGCCTTACCCTGGCTGCAGGTGGGCTCGGTGCCTGCGTGGGGGGCAGCCTCTGCTGGCCAGCAGTGTGGCTCTGCCGGGGGGCCCTCGGGGGCCATCTTCACCTGTTCGCTGCACTGAGGCTCCTGGGGCGGGAAGCTGGCACCCTCTGCCCTTCCTCCCAGCTCTTCTCCCTCTGTGGGGACACAGGGTGGCTGTGGGTTACATGCTCATCCAGTGTAAGGAACAGGGCCCCCCTACCACGCCCTAGGACACCCATCAGAGGACCTGCCCTGAGGCAGCTGCCCATCTCTACAGAGTGGCCCGTGGACCAACAGGGGATCCTCTGGAACGACTGCATGGGTGTGGCCAGGCTGGCACTGGCAGGAAGCCTCTCACCCCCGGCCCCACGGTGGACCTGGTGGGGCCAGCTCCCCACCTGGACTGTTGCGTACCTGACCCAGCGCCTCCCCACTGCGCCCCAGCTTACAGGAGTGGCAATCAGAAACACAGTTTTGGGTTGGGACCCAAAACCAAACAAACCATCTAAGACCAGAGTGGCTGGAGTGGTATGCTGGCACCGTGCCGTCCCGCCAGGCCATACCTTCCCGGACATGAGACAGGGACTGGGAAAAATGCCCAGGCCTGGAATGGGCCCACGGGAGAAAGGCTGCACCGTGGCCACCAGCCAGGCCATTAGTCAGCAGCGGCATGCTCACTCCCAGGCCCCCCAGGCCCTGCCTCCACTGTCCCCTCCGCGCCCGGCTGCATCCAGGTCGCTTCAAAGTCGGGTCCTTATGCTGCTCTCCTTTCCTTCTCAGGCCCAGAACCTCCCACCACACCGGCACCGCCCTCCTGGCCTCCACTCCCCCACTGTGCCCCTCAGGTTCCTTCTGCCAAGAACACTCCCCCGGCTTCCCCGTCAGGGGACGTGCCCCCTACCCCTGCAGGCAGGTCAACAGCTCCTGAAACTGGGACAAAGGCAGGCAGTGGCTTCCAGGGGCTCTGGGACAGAGCCCGTCCTGGCTGCCTGAGCCTGGAGACGCTCCCTCGGTGGCAGGCACGGTGACAGACTGTCTCCGCACACAGTGAGCCCACCCCCTAACACGACCACAGGCTCCAGTTGGCCCCTCCTGCTGCCCTGCCGGCCCTGGAGCAGGGAGCGGCCGGACTGCTGTGTCACTGCGGCAGGACGAGGCCCCTGAAGCCCCACACACTCCGGGGAGCAGGCAGCTGGCCTGGGCCCTCCAGAGGCGGCAGTGCCCCGGCTGCCCCTCTTCACACAGCTGCTCCCTAAGAGCCTGGCTGGGTGGCTGGAGGCTGCTCAGGTGGAATGCGGGGGGCGGGGGGGCAGGCAGGGACCCACAGGGCAGGGCTATGGTGAGGTGCGACCTGGCAGACCTGGAGCTGGGTGGCTGCCCTCGGCGGGCGAGGCATCAGGCCAACTCCCTGCCGCCCCAGAGTACTGTCCCCCTTTCCCAGGCCCTTCCTCTTTACTGGGTGGCCAGGAGAAGGGACACGCAGGGCAGGGGTGTCCAGCAGAAACGCCAGCACGTGGGGTGGTGCTCCTCAGGCCAAGCAGCCCCGTCCCCTCCCCACAGCAACTGCGAGGATGTCTACAGGAGGACCCGAGGGGTCGGGGGGCCTGCGGGGGCATCAGCCTGCCGGGAAGGCTGTCTGGGGCTCCCAAGTGCCCTGGCCGCAGGCTCTCTGTGGGAAGCTAGTGGCCAGGTTGGGATCCTGAGCATGGGGGGCACCCCTCTCTGCTCCCCTGGGCAGTTGCTCAACGTGCCTGGCCCTAGCAGACACTCTCCTTGGCTTCCTGACTGGTATGAGGCCCCTCATACTCCAGCCCCTCAACCCCACTGGGTGGGCGGTACCCTGCCCAAGTCCTCACCGCGGCGGGTCCTGCTGCCCGCCCCACCCCGCCCCGCCGATCCTTCCTCCCTGTTCTCCTCCCCCCACCGCTGGAGGCCTGACCCCCTCAGTGAGAGGGAGCCTCCCTCACCCATGGGCCAGGCGTTCTAGCAGCAGGACTGCCAGCGGGAACCCAGGTCCTGCCCTGGGGTGGACAAACACCCAACAAATAAGCAGATAAGCAAATGCAGAGCTGGGGGACAGCGACAGGCAGCACCACGGGAAACATGTGACCAGGAGCCTCCTCAGATGCCCATGGCCGGCCATGCGCTCCCCCAGGGAGAATATCTGCCGCGCGGGGCCCAGGACCCGGGGAGCATGGTCTGAATGGGTGCTCGATGTCTTTCCTAGTAACCAGGGAAGCCTGCGAGCACCCTTGCTGGTCTCAGGCTGTGGCAGGAGGTACGCCAGGAGTGGACCCCGCCAGCCGCCTTCCCTCCGGCTGGGGGTCGAGGGCCATGTGAAGGGCACCCCTGTCAGGGGAGAGCCTGCCCACCCTGGGGACAGCGTCCTGGGATAATTTGTCCTTAAGCCTGTGCTCCTGAGTGGCTCACAACCTCCTGTGTTGCCATCCCCAGCTTCGGCTCTAGGCCTGCACACCCCCAGTCTCTGGCCACCCACACAGGGCAGGCCCCACCCTCCCTGTCCACCTGAACCTGCACCTGGTTCTGGGCTACACACTGGTTACCAGGAGTGGTAGGGTGAGGCCACAATGCCAGGTCAACCCACCACATCTGGTGAACCAGAACCCTGCCTGGTGCCTTCCCTGTTCTGGAGGCTGTGGGAGGAGGGGTCTGGGCAGACATGCCTGTCCCAGCCTCGACCCGACACCAGCTCAGAAAGCTGAGAACCACTGGGGACACCCACCCCAACACGGCCAGCGCAACAGCACCACCGGCGGCAGCCCTGTAAGACAGGGAGGTTACTCCATGAGGCAGGTGGACAGGCAGGTGCCCGGAGAGCCAGGCGGGGGTGGGAGGGGCAGGCCGGGCACCTGGTCCTGCTGGGGCCACTCCTCTCCCACGCCCAATGTCGTGCCAGAGCTCCATCCCAGCAAAAGGCCATTTAATTTAGTGTTAGGGGAGGAAAATGAAAGAGAACTCTCCAGGCTGAAGGCTATGTATCAGGAAGCACACACTCTCCCACAGATCCAACAGAGGAAAAAAGGTGTGGACTCTAGTTCCTGGCCTGCTTGGAGGTGGGAGCAGGTACGCAGGGTGGGCGGGCAGGCCCCAGGCAGGCCCTGGCGGCCACTGGTATTCACACCGTGAGGAGCCCTCCCTCCTTGTGCTCGCTGTGTGCGCCAACACCGGGGATGTTCGTCATTTCTGAGATTAGGTTACAAGGGACACAGACGCACTTCCGTCTGGCTCTCTCTATGCCTCTGTCTCTCTCAGGTCCCAGGCCCTGGGGGAAGCCAGTAGCCATGACTCAGGGACACCTAGCCCACGGAGTCGCTCACGGTGGAGGACTGAGGCCTGCCCACAACCTGAGCGAACTCAGGTGAGCAGCTGAAGCTTGATGCTCCCAAATTCCCAATCATCAGAGACTATAAATAAGGTCATAGGAGCCAAAGTCAGGCAGAGGGCAAGGCAGCCTGAGGTGCAGACAACGGCGGGACAGGGAGGAGCAGGGTCCCTGCGGGAGTGGGCGACTCCCCTAGGAGGTGGGCTCCTATCGTCACTGTCCTTCGAGACCACCCCCGCCACCGCCACACCGCGGCCTTGTGTGCTGTCTGCCAAGCACCGTCCTGAACCCCCGAGTGCTAGCGCTGCACCTCCACCTTACAGGCACACCGTGCTGGGAACTGAGAGAGAATGAGACAAAGAGCGAGGGACAGGGACAGCCAAGGTCACCTCGTGGTGGAACCACCACTTACGGCTCTTCAACGCCTCCTTGTCCTGCAGCCTTCGGAGGTTCCCCTCAGAACGAATGGCTGCCGAAGCTGACCCAAGGGGAGCGATTCTCCGTCCCATGGGGCCGTGGCCCACACAACTGTAGCTGGGCAGAGGGCGCTTACACTTCCACGGTCCTCAGAGCAAACTGGGGCTGGCACTGGGTGAAAACATCAGGGCCTGATGCTTGAGATGCAGGAAAGAGCTGGGAGAGGAAGGACTGCCACCCTCTGCCTCCATTTAGGCAGAACGCCTCGGGGTGCAGCGCTCCCAGGTCATGGTGGCTGGAGCTTTTAAGTCTGGCACCTGTCAGGCACTCTTGCCATGCGTGGCTGTCCCATCCTTCAGGAAATGACACAGCCAAGCTCGCAGAGCTGAAAGCAGCAGTCCCAGCTGTGGCCCTCACATGGGACTGCGACTGGGGGGACAGGCAAACCTTCATGGGTGACCTGGGTGCGCAGGAAGGCCCTCGGCAAGTGTGCGGGCTGGGTCTGCGCCGCAGGAGGGCAGGGTCTGAAATGGGGAGTCTGGGCCGTGCCCCGCCTACTGCCCTCTGGACTTCGAGGCACCTTGCCCCCTCCTCAAAAAGCCTCAGGCCCCTCTGCCCCTCCCTGCTCTGCTGGCTGCCCCAGCCTGCAGCTGCCCTTCCCAATGGCATCCTGGGTTAATAGAAGGAACAAGGGCTCCCTCTCTCCTCCCAAGGGAGCCGCCTCACCCTGTCCCTTTTCCTTTGCCCCCATCCCCCACTAAACAGGCCTGTGAGGTCATGTGTGTGCTCAGGGTCAGGACCTCCTCTCCCTCCTGAGTCTGACTCTGAGTCTGACTATTTTATCTCTATTTATCCAAAGGCTCTGTGAGAGAAGAAAACAAAGTCTAGGCCAACCAGTGACATCAGTGCGCCTTCCCTCCCTCTGTGCCCCCTCCCCTCACAGGTGGGGAGACTGAGGCTCCAGAGGGTTAAAAGTGGGGGTGCTGCGCGGGCCCACCAGGGACCGGCAGGGCCGGCCCACCGCCCGGCCCACCTCACCCGCAGCTCAGGGATCAGCAGGCTGGAGGCTGCCTGCTCCCCTCCCCGACCCTCCACTTTTCAGGCAAGGAGCAGGACTTACCTGGACCCAGCGAGGCGGTGCTGGGGGTGGCCTCAGGCCTGTGTGGCTGGGGGGCCCCGGGGTCCTTGGATGGGTCTGGGGCGGAGGCTGACACCGTGGGAGCGCAGGTGACGACAGCTGTGGCGGCAGCCGGCGCAGGACGGGGCTTGGCGTGGGTGTCACCGGGCCGCTGGAGAGTCTCCGCTGCTGGCGCAGGGTCAGGGGCGGTGGGGGCCGGGGCCGCGGCCGCAGGGAAGAAGTTTTCCCGACTATCCTTGGGGTGCTTTGGGGTGGTGGGTGTGTCCCCTGCGGCCTGTGAGGACAAAAGGGAGGTGAGAAAGGCGGGCTAGGCAGCCCTGAGCCCATGCTGTGCCATGGGACACGGGTCTGCGCCCAGCACTGCCAACACTGCCTCACCCGCAGCACCGTGCTCCGGACCCCCGATGCCAGCGAGGCTCACAGGCAGCCCTTCAGGACACTGCGGGGGACCCAGAATCCCTCTCTGGGAGGATGTCCAGGCCATGGCGGGGGACTCAGGAGAGAGGCCGCAGGCTGGCCGGGACCCCCAGTAGGCTTCACCCTCCCATTCTGGTGCTGGCCTGGGAGGAGCACGCTGGCTGTGACCTGGGGCATGGGGCTACAGTGCCCGACGGGACCGCAGTAATGAACGCCAGTCCTAGAGGGCAACTTCCCAAAAGTCACTGATGGGAGGGTGGAGGGAGCTGCAGTGACAGAGCAAGAGTCAGCTCCTGGGCTCAGAACTGCAGTCCCAAAGCCACGGCATCCAACGCTGCCCCCAGCCCGGCCACGCAGGCCCCCCCGCCTGCAGCCTGGCCTTGGCAGCCCCAGCGGCTCCCCGCTACGGTTTTCTATCCCGTTGCAGCCTCCCTGTCTTCGTCCATATCGTTTCTTCCCTGTGCCACCAGGCCCTTTCTACTCTGCACTGAATCAAGCCCACCCTGCCAGTCGGGTGTGACAGCGTAGCTCCCTAGGCCGAGGACATGCTGCATGGTGGGGCACGGTGCCTGGACAGCCTCTCCGGGCAGAGCAGAGGGGCTGGGTGCCAGCATGTGAGCAGACCCCAGCCCTCAGACCTCAGCCCCGGGCCTACCGTACTCATTTGGGAGAGTCTTATGCCTACTGGGGGTGCCTTGGCCAGGCTGGCACCCCTGAGGACCCTGCTTCTTCTGCCATTTGTTCTGCCTGAGATGCCCCTCTCATGCTGCATGCGGCGTGGTCGCCCTGGGACTCTGCAAGGGCGGGGGTGGGAGTCTGGGACGGACCAGGCCTCTGGAGGAGGGTGGGCAGGGCAGACCTGTCTCTCTTGTGTACACAGACCAGGGGGAAGGCGAGCACTGTGTCCCTGTCCTCGAAGAGTGGGCCTCAGCCAAAGTAATGGCAATGAGCATACTCCAGGGGTGCCCCAGGCTGCCATGGCCACCCCCTCCCCAGCACTAGACACAGGTGGGCCCAGGATGGCTGTGACCGTCCCACTCGCCTTCTCTGAGGTCCCTTCCTGGGCTCCTTTGACAGGCCAGGCCCCACCTGGGTGCTGGTCCTCTTTGGGCCTCAAGTGCCTCAGACTCAACACAAATCCAGCGGGACCCCTCTGGCTACCGTGGTGATACCAGGGTGGTATGGACTAGTGGCAGGCAGGGCACGTCTCTCCAGGGAGTCTGGCCCCAGGCTGGCAGGTCGGCCCACCTGTGTGGCCCACAGCCTGCATGGTCAAGGCGGAGCCCCTGGGTTTCCTCAGACCTGCAAGGGTGGTGGCCCGATGCACCACCCGCAGAGGGGAAGCCCGGGCTGCAGCGGATGCCCGCTGCCCTGAGCTCCTGCCTCAGGACAGCCTTGTGACACGCTTCTCCAGGGCAGACGCTAAGGGAGAGCCCTGATGTGCTAGGGGTGGGAGGGTAGGGCCCACTCACTTGTGGGGCAGGGGCAGGGGCTGTTGGGCCCCTGGGGACACTAGGCTGTACCTATTCAAATGGCAAGTACCTGCCCTCTGACCCAGTGACCCTGGCTCGGGGGTCATTTCTACAGAAACACCCACGTGTAGTGCAGAAAGATGCCCCTCAGCAATGCTGAACAACGGAGCTGCGGTGCCCCCTTTCTCTGCTGGCCAGACCCTGCCCAAAGGGCCTTCCCTTGAGCAGGGCCTCTCCAAGGGAGGCCCCTCTCCTTCAGTCTCAGCCTAACCACTCCTCAAAAACAGCCCTCGTCTCTGAGTCCCAAATCCAGCGGGTCCCGGCCCTGCTGCCTGGCATGCTCTCCTCCCTGGACACCACTGGGTTCTGTCCCGATTCTCCCTGTGCCGGCAGCCCGGCCTCGGAGCTCGGCCTGGCCTATGCTCTCTGCTGTCCCCACCTCATGGCTTCAGGGACGCCTACAACCAGGGCTCCAGCCGGGACCGTCCCTCTGGGGAAAGCCCTCAACCTTTCTCTGCCTACTCAGATTCGGCCTTGGGAGAGTCTCAGACTCAACACAAATCCAGTCTTGACCTTGGCTGGCGACTCCCAAGAGAAGATCCGTCTGCCAGAGCCCAGGAGGGCCTCACCTCTCCTCCACATCACCAAGTCTTGCAGCCCTGGGTCTGCCAAGACCCCACGCACCGTGCGATGTTGCCCACCCAGGCCAGCGGTCAGGGCTCCCTATGGGCCTGAGGTTCTGCGGCCTCTTGCTCGTCTCCTCCCAGCCCCACTGACGGACACAAGAACAGCACCAGCCCGAGTCTCACACGCTCCTTGGCCCGCAGCCTGGGGCCTTGGCATGGGCGGGCCCTGCACAACAAGGCTGGCACATGCTGAGTCGGGCTTACCTGTCTCTGGGCGGCAGCCCCAAGATGGACCTGACAGAACTTCACAGCCTGCTCCAGCGCGGCCTCCTCGTCCACCTGAGCAAGGAAACACCTGAAGTCAGAAGGCCCGGCCCAGATCCTGTGAAGAACCCTCCCACTGCTGACGCCCCCACTGGCCTCAGACGCCCCTGGGAAGCCTGGGCAGGTGCACATCCATCTCCCAGGTCCACCCCCCACAACCCAAGCTCTGGCCCCTCTGGTCATCCCAAGTTCATTTCTGCAACCATGTTATTTCACCCTCAGGAGCTGAAGCTGACAGGATGCAGGGCCTTTTGGGATCCAAGGTCTGAAGGGTGCGTGGGTCTGATCTGACTTGGAGCCCGAGCCAAGGCACAGGGGGGTGGGAACAAGGCTGGGGAGGCGTGGGGGCCATCTTGGAGACGCGGGCGGGTGTGAGGGAGACAGCCTGGAGTGTCGGGAGCGGCCAGGCCAGGCCGGCGGTGTGGGGAGAAGGCCTGCCCTCAGCAGGAAGCGCAGGGAGTTTCTCCCCCAAATTAATCAGCAACAAAAACAAAAGTTAATATTGGATGCTGGTGAGTGGTGATAAAACAGGCACTCTCAAAAGTGGCACTACCGTCAACAGCTTGAGAAGAAACTGCACATGAGGATGGTCACCCCATTTAAGCCAGTCATTACAGTTCTGGGGGTTCTTCCTGTGAAATCGTTTTAAGCAGAGAAAAAGCTGTGTGTCTTAATGCATTAAAAAAAAAAAGGCAGGCAAAATCAGAGGGGCGACAGAACGTCCTCACACACTCGGGGCGCTGCTGCAAAGTGGCCGTTCCCCAGAGCCCATCACTGCAGTGCGCTCGGGGGTCCTGTCTCCCTGTCCTCGAGTGGACAAGGTTTCTGCAAAGCAGCTTCATTTCCTTTGAAATGCAGCACAGGCTTTTTAAAGCTTGGGGGTTTTTTGGTATATTTAACCCATTTTCATTGAGACACAGTGACAAAATTGTAACGTATTTGAAGTGTACAATACGATGCCCTGACGTGCTGTTTTTCTGACCCCAAACCTAGTGCGTGTACCCTGTAGGAAACCTCAAGTGCAGGAAAGTGAACAGCAGGGGCGGGGGGAATGACACCTACCGCCCACCCCAAAGGGCAGGCCCTGAAACATCGGGTAGACTGGCTGCGGCCCTCCAGGAGAACAGGCCCCAGACCCGCCTCCCGGCCACCCACCTGCTTGATGAGCATGTAGGTCTCAGACATGATCCTCTCGATGCGGCCCAGGTCATAGGCCATGCCCTTCTGGCCCTGCTGCCACACTCGGTAGGCGTCCAGCAGGAGCGTCTTGCCAGACTCCGTGTCCTCCAGGAGTTTCCTCTTGCGGGTGGGCCGTGGAGGTGGCTCCTCAGGGTGGCCACCTGCCCTCGCAGTGGTAGCGGTGGGGGCTGTGGTGGTGGCAGTGGCGGGGGCTGGCTGGGCCGGTGTGAGCGGGCTGGGCTGCTGCCGGGCGCTGATGCTCAGCTCCTCCAGGGACAGCTCGGCGGGCCGGCTCTCAGGGGCCCGATCCCGAGGGGAGCGGCCTGGCGGCAGGGGCAGTGCCCGCTCTGAGTCTGAGCGGCGGGTGGCAGCCTCACCTGTGTCCATGGGCTCAGTGGGGCCCACACGGGGGCCCTCCTTGTCCTTCCGCTCCCCACCCTGGTCTGCATTGTCTCCTGCGTCCATGGCCACAGGCCGGTGGTTGACAGGACACTCTTTGCCGGCTGGCTCGGTCCCCGGCCCCGAGCCATCAGCCAGAGGGGGCTTCTTGGGGTGGGGGAGGCCTTCTTGGCCATCTTCGGGACTGGCCTTGTGGGAGACATCGGTGGTCATCCTGACTCCAGGGAGGCCACAGGCCTTGGGCCCTGGGTGTTCTGACCCCTTCGAAGAAACCAAAGGTAAAAGACTGTCTTCGGTGTCTCCACAACAAAACACCCTGGGCACCATATGTGCCCACCCAAGGCTACTCTGGCTCTGTCCTCTACTTGTGGGCCAGGGCTGGGCCCGGAGACCTGACTGAGGAAGGCACTCCCTGCACTGGACCTCCAGCCTTGAGAGGGGCCAGTGGGCCTCTGGAGGTGGCACTGCTGCAGGAGAACAGACCTAGCCACACAGCGTCAGCTTTCCTCTCACTGGGAGCCTCAGGGCAGCCCTGGGCATCTGATGGGGAGGTGACCTGCCTGGCTGGCAGCAGAGCCAAGCCCTCCTGTTCTGGGCTCTCACGTGCCCCAGTGCACAGAGGCTGGGGTAATGCTGTTAGGAGACGCTGCCGCGGGGCCGTATACTACAGGCCAGCCCATCCTACTGGGCAGGTGATGCTGCAGGTGGACTGTTCTGGCTCAGGTCCCAATGGCCCCACCTGCTCAGCCAGTGACCTAACCTCCTGGGCCTCTGGGTGCTCAGCTGTGAAATGGGGCGAGGACCATGCATTGTCTCAGAGGGTGAGAAGGGACTGTGTGTCAGGGCGCTCTCAGAGGCCTTGCTCAGCCTGTGGGAAGCTGGCCATGCAAGGGGAGGGCCAGCTTTGTCATCTGCTTTGTCATTACAGCTGCTATTACCCAAGCTCAGGGCTGGGACAGGGAGCCATGGGTGGGAGCAGACTGGGGAACGTCACTATTATTCTCACTGACCACAAGTCCACATTTGCCTACCCTACCATGTTGGCACCTTATTAAGTGCCTGTGCATTCAGTGCTGCAGTTGACCTTCCCCATCTGGGGAGGCAGGAAAGGACACTAGTGTGTGAAGGATAGGACGGGGCTGCCACCAGGAGAGGGGAGGGCTGCAGGCAGCATACCTCAGCGAGCTCGCTCAGCGTGTCCTCCAGCACCTTCACAGTGAGGATGAAGGCCCGCTGCGCCAGGACCTGGCGGTCAGCATCTCGCAGATACTTCCTGCAGGCACATGGGGGTAGCCAGAGAGGCGGCAGGGCGTCAGAGCCACACAGCACTGCTAGATGGTGGCCCGAGCTCTTCCTGAGCCGATTACACCTGCTAGTCGCTCATGGTGCCCCTCTGTCCATCTGCTCCGGGTCTGCTCCCCAGAAGCCTACCCTGGGGGCAGGGTAGGCAGAGCCAGGCTCAGTGAGAGCCGGAGCCTCTGACTTCTCTCCCACAAGCCTGTCCAGGGCACCCCAGGTTCCAGCAAAGGCCCCTCCCCAGCTCCGGGCACAGGGCAGGTGAATGAGATAGTGGGGGGAGGCCTCGCTGGCAGTGCGAGGATGCGCAGCCGGGCCAGACCAGTCTCTGAGCTGTGTCTGTCCTGGGATCCCCACATCCTCTGCAAGTGGCAGCTGTGGCAGATGTCCATTGGCTCTCTCTGTCCCACCCTTTCTGACAAAGGGATCCCTGGTTACGTCAGAGACCCAGGCCCTCCTGTTGCCTGGCATGTTGTCACTGGCCTTCACTTGGGGTGCCCCAGCTATCACTTGGACACTTGTTTCCCTGTGACCTGAGAGCATCCCTGAGAGCCCCAGGTTGGCGGAAGAAGAAGGAAAGGAGTGACTGGCTTGTTCAGAGTCTCAGTGGGGAAATCAGACCCAGTGGGGAGAGCCTGTGTTCCAGGGCAGGGGTGGTGCTGTGCAGGCTCTAGACTCTGGAACAGAGAAGCCCTGACTCACGTAAAGACACCTTGGGTAGATGGGGCCAAGGGGCTCCAGCCAGTGTGTGCTGCACTCACTTGCCCTGGTCCGGGGTCCGCTGCAGCATGGAGGACACCTTCAGCAGCGTGCTGTGGTCCCGGAGCTGGGCCAGCACCTTGAGCAGCAGCACGATCGAGCGGTTCATGTGCCAGGCGAAGCTGCCTGGCCGGTCGATCTCGTCCACGGGGATTCGCCAGATGCCCTGCAGGATGGATGGGAGGGTGTCTGAGAAGGGCTGCCGCCACTGGAGCTGCCATGGTGCCAGAGAGGGCTCTGCCCACCAAGGGCTCCTCCGACCCTTCGCGCTGTCCCAAGGGGGATGGAAGTGTGGCCACCCCCACTTCGCTTCCCCCTCCCAAATGGCACAACAAAAGGATAGACGTGCTGCCATGCACCTGCTCTCTTTTGAATGACAGCACAGCATACATTCACTTGACCTGTCCCCTATGGGAAACATGCAAATCGCAGCTGATCAGATGCAACAACTAGGAGGAGCTCAATGCCTACTCATCTGCACAGATGCAGATTCAGCAATGAGCCCAATTCCGGGAGGTAAACTAAGGGTCAAAAGTTGGCTGCTGTCTGTCTTCCACATGCACTCCCTCCAGCAGTGTCTAGAGACTCAAGGTTTGGGCAGAAAATGACCTGTGGCTTCTAGGATGCCTGGTTTTCACCAACTTGCCTTTGTCCATAGTTCACTTTGGCCAGGACCCCCTCCACCACTTCTTGCCCATCAAACCCACTGTCTGAAAGTTGAGCTGGGGCAGGGCTGGTGCTGAAGAGCCCCACCCTCCCTCTGCCAAGCCTAGCCCACTGCTGCACTGAGTACTCTGCACGCTGCCAACCCCAAGGGTCTGGCTCCCAGCAACGCCCTCATACCCAGCGTGGCCTCTGACACCAACTCAGGTCCAGTCATGGTGTGCTGAAGGAAAGGATGATGCAGGGGCTCAATGACAAGTGAAGAGCAGCTCACGCCTTCTGAGCAGCCCTAAGGCTCCAGTGCGCGGGCATTCGGAGTCATGTCTCTGAGGCAGAACCTTGGGGCCTGGAGGGAGCTGGCAGGCTCCCTGATAGGTCCCAGTAGCCAACACCCTAGACAAATTCCTACCCAGAATGAACCAGGACTGTGAGCAACACAGCCTCCCTCTGCATGGGGCCCATGGTGAGGTTTCCAGGTGGTGCCCCTCCCAGGGCCCTGCTCCCTGAATGCTCAATGACAGTTTCTGGCACCCACCCTCTCCAGCAGGCCAGGGAGGGAAGCCAGGGCACCTCTAGACCTGGGCCATTCAAGCAAGAGAGGATCTGAAACCCTGATCTCTGAGTATCCATAGATTCCACAGCAAGTCAGCAGCTCATACTGAATATGTAGTGCTCACCCACGCAGTCTGGGGGCAAGGGTGCTATGTGGATAGGGCAGCCACCTTCCCTCCTTGGCAGTGGTAGAGAAGGTACCAGCGGGCCCCCAAACCCTATCTGGACAAAGCCAGGGGGCTAAGGCCACCCTTGTCCAGGGCATTAACACCAACACTGCATCTTCCTACCCAGCAGATGTGGTTTCTGCAGCAGCTCAGGAAAAGGTGCCAGTTGAGAGAATGATGGAGCCTCGAACAGCTGTCCCCACCAAGGTGGCCCTGGCATCTCACCCTCAGGTGTGACGGCAGTGGCCGAGGAGGTGCCAGCAGTAAGGGCCTGGGCCTGCGGAGGCCGTACAGACATCACCGTGGTCCTCACCACAGCTTCGCACAGTGACACGGGGGACAGAGGACAGAGCTCAGAGAAAGTCCTTCAGGGTCACACAGAACAAGCAGCAGCCCCAGGGTTGGCCCCTCACCACCCAAGGATAAGGAGAAAGAGCCCAGAGGGAAGCCTCCACCGTGGGCCCCTTGGCTCCTCTCCGCACCCAACAGGAAGGGCTGGAAACACTGCCCAGCCTCGTGCCGGGACCCCACAGGCATGTACTGGGGCTGGCTCAGCACCACAGCCCAGCTGCTCCGGGTCTCACTTCTCCTTGGGCACAGAGGGGCGCGCTCTCAGCCACGAGATCCAGATGGCTGTGGAATTCACGGAACCCCCGCTCCCCCAACACTTCCCCACAGAGACTCTCAAGACTCAAAGGCTAGGTAACGGCCACTTCTGGTGTGCCTGGATCCAGGGTCAGAGGGCCTCTCCCAGCTGCCCTTGGGAGCAGCTGGGGTGCCAGATGCCCTGCACTCCTCAGGAGAGCCATCAGGAAGAGTGAATAAAGGTTCACGTTTACATCCCTGATCGTGTTTGGGAATAGCTGTTTGAGGAGAAGGGTGTTGACGTCTCTGGGCCCACCCCTGGGAGGTGGCCCTGTTCCTCCTATGTCACCCCTGCTGGCCACACCGGTGGAGCCAGGGCACAGGCATGGGGAGGGAGGGAGGCTCAAGACAGGGCTGCCAAGGGCTCAGGGTCAGCCTGGCTGAGAAGTGGGCAGAGGGAGGGCTCGTGGGGGCCTCAGATATGGTGCCAATGCTATGGGGGGCTCCAGGTACTTGGGATGCCAGGGCCCAATGTCTGTTCTCCATACCTGCAAGGTCTGCACATCTGGGGAGCGTACCACCCCTGGCGGTGACCAGTTTCATCTTTGGCTAATTGCTAAAGGCTCCTTCTTTGCAACGTGTTGGACCCTAAGGCTCGCCCCATGCCCCTGCCCCTCCCTGGCACCCCAGCTTACGCCTTATACCCCTAACATCCCTGCTGCAGCCCAGGCCTCATCATGCCTCTTCTACTCTTGACCCCCAAACCCATCTGCCCGGCCTGGGCCATGGCAAGCTTGGAAAAAGATAACATGGCTGCATCCCTCCCTGCTTACAATCACAGCAGATGGCTCCCTTCACCTACCTCAGCACAAGTCTGGGCCGTGCTGGCTTTCACGCCTCTCTTGCCTCAACTTGAGACACTCACCGCCCCCTCACACAGCCATGAATCTCATGCTTCTTGCCTTTCCAGGTGCCCTCTAGCTCCCCTGCCCGGCCAGCTCTCCTGTGTCCTCCCAGGCCCAGCTGTGACATCACCTCCTCTCTGAAGCCCTTCTGGCTTGCTGCACTCCTCAGACTCTGCCAGGACCACTCAAAGCCAGCCCCTCAGAGAGGCAGTGGATGGGTCTGTGGCTGGGAATGTGTCCTAGATAGATCTTCAGCTCTGGGCTGCTTAGGGCCCTGACTCAAACCTGGCAGAGTAGTCCAAGTGGCCAACTTGAAAAAGGCTCAGGGAAGGGTAGCTCCCCCATCTCCCTGCTGGCGCCTCACCCTAGGATTTCCAAGGGAGGTGGGAGACAATCCTGCTCACAGCGAAAGGAATGTTATGTTCTTCAGAACTCTGGGTGCACGCAACCCTACACTGGGGGCAGGGGGAGCAGGTGGCAGCACCCCACCTTGCTGAAAAGGCAGTAACAGCAAGTCACCAACACTACAGTAGCAAGCAGCACACTCGCTAGGGCTGGCAGAACCTCAGCCACGCAGGGGCAGTGCAGGCCAGGCTCCCGGTCAGGCGAGGGCTGGCTCTCCTTTCCCCCCTGCAAAAGGGGGCCGAGAAAGCACTGCCAGAGGTAAAACACATTTGGCCCTCTGCAGGGTGGGCCAGGTGGGCACAGTGGCCTTAACAGATGGTAGGGGGCAGGGTAGGGCCCCTGTACAGAGGGATCCCAAACACCTGCTCTTGCTCCCAAGCTCTGAAATGGAAGACACAGCGTTCACCTGTTTTGTTTTGTTTTTCCCGTGGCAGGGGCGGTAGGTGGTGGTGTGCCAAAACGAGCCGATGCGCATGCTGCAAACACTCCCCGGAGCGCCCGCCGGGCTGCCTCCTGCAGCAGGCTAACCCGGGACTGTGCGGGGCATCCTGCCGCTGCTGGCCTCTCCAGGTATCAGATGGAGGCAGGGGCTGCCATCTGGTCTCTAAGTGCAGCGATGCCTCATTCCCGACGTTTTCTGGACGCACGCCGAGGTGGGTCTGCCTGCCATCCGCTCCCCACCACACCATGGCTTGCCTGCCTGTCTCGCCTTCTGGGACTGCCCTCCTGCCCCCGCCCCACTTCCTGCGCCCCCTTCCCGATTCCCAGAATGCTGCCCACCGAGGCATCTGGTGGCATCAGAGTTACACAATCATGCACATTTAGTTGGCTGAACCTGCTCATTGTGTAGGTGGGAACCCGAGTCCCAGTGAGGGACAGCCTGCCCTCTGCCACAATGCTGGACTCCAGCTGAGCTCAGACTGCCTGTGGCTTCCCTCCTCACACCTGGGGCGGGTGGGCCTGGCTGAGCAGCCTCTCCACCGGCCAGGCCCATTTGCAGCCATCACTCTAGAGCCAGACACAGGGTCCCTACGCCCAGGAGCCGGACTCCTGAGGGGCTTTCAGCTAACCGCCAAAGAGGGCCAGGGCTAGAACGTACCCCGTGAGGTCAGGGCTAGTTTACATCACACGCTGCAGGGCACGGTTTTGGCCCCTTCACAGAAGGGCTCCCTATCGACCCATTTCCTTCCGTGCACGCAGGCATACCATAACACCACCTATCTCCAAAAGGACCGAAGACAGAACATATCAGGCGATGCAATGTGTCCACAGAAAATCAGAAAAGAACCACAGACAACAAAAGCCCCGAGGAAGTTCCTGCAGCCACGAGGCTAGCCTCCAGGGACAGCTGGCCTGAGGGCGTGGAGCCACCAGGCAGGGTCACAAGCTGGCGGGATGGCAAGCAAGCCTTGCGCCCACGCAGACAGTGCTGGGCTTCTGTGTTTACAGCCAGGGCCAGGATACCAGCACCCCAGAGATGGCTGGGCCACATCCCATTTCTCTACTCCCCCTGCCCATGTTATCCCCTTGGGGAAAAATGGCTTCCCACTCTGTGCCTGTGAATGGCTAGGAAGCCCCCAAGGGAACCAGGGGGCTCCAGGGAGGATGGAGGCACCACGAGGTGGCAGACAGCCACACATGGGAGCCAGGGGACCTCAAAGGAGGGGTATGGGATGGGGATCACCCTAGAGGGAAGTAGTACTGATGCCAGGCAAGGCCTGGGGGCTATGACTCAGGCCTTCCCCAGAGCCCTCGCCTGGCTGCCTCTTCCAAGACCCTTCTCCCAGTGTGGCAGGCACACAATTCAATTCCTGGCTGGGAAGGTGGTGCCTGCTTGGAGAGCTGTGAGTGGCTGGGGGCAGACAGCGGCAGCCTCAGGGCACTTAGAA